TAACGTTATACTAAATGCTTTTTTTTCTTACCATATTTTGTGTTAATGTGGTCTTGCGCAGATTGGATAAGCAGAACCTACCCTGAAACTGTAGTTTAAAGAACTCGAAAGATATGTAAAAAGTCAGGATATTAACCTATCTTCCCTCACCTTACATGCTTACACTGTTACTTCTTAAGTGACAGCACTTGATTTTACAGAAGCATGCAATCTTTGGAAAAATTCTAATATTTTATTTAATGATCTTTCTAGCATCTCAACGTTTCCAAATGTGTGGAAAATTTATTCTAATTTAATCTTTTGCACTCTGGATCTCCGCCAAACCCACTCACACCTGTTATTCATCTCCATTTTTTTAATACCTTGTTCCTCTATTGATTAAACCACCTTGCACGTGATTGAGCCTTTGCTTCTCGTCTAACATTTGGTGTTCAGATACCAACGAAGATTACTGTTTGCAAAAGCGAATCTATAGTATGTTCACTTCGGCACTTTCATTTATGCTTTTTCCAAGTCGCTGTTTTTTGCTTTGGTTTTCATAGCATAAAGTATAACCTATAATTTTTTGACGTAATGCTTTGTTGCCCTAAAATCTTATAGTGGTAATGAACAATAAAACATGTTATGATTGTTTAACACATTTATCACAGCCCTTATATATTATATTTTGAAGAAAAACTATGTTATCTCAAGAAAGGAAATTTCTAGTAAGGTAAACGTGAATTTATTACTCAATTTACGACTTATATTTTTCGATGAACCATGGGTTTCTCCTGTAATATTGAACTGTTCACACTTTCTCCGAGTTATCATTTGTTCTTATGAACTAATTATTTGCAAATTAAAGATTAACATATCAAAGTGACTATTAAAATACGTAGTATTTATTTGTGACATTTTATCTAACACAATAAAAAAATGAATAAAAATAGTTCTTTGTTTAAAGCGAAAATTTGGAAGTTGCTTTTTCACTAAAAAAACCTTGTTTTTTTAGTTTCTGGAATTTCGCCTTGTAAATATATATGAAAGTGTCAAATACTTTTGCGAATGAGCTAAAATTTACAGTAAATGATAAATAACAGAAATATTCCTACACTAGCCCAATCTTCCCTACCAATAAAGTTTTTTAGAAGCCATTTATAAATATTTACGGAAAACTAAATTCTAGACTTTCTTTCCTTACTGACATCTTGTGTTTTGCATTATTTTTTAAAATATCTTAGAAGTTATAAACTTTATGGAAATAGGTAAAATGTCAGACGAAATCCCACCGGTAACATCAGAAGATGATATTATCAAAATGTGTACCCAGCGTTGTCAACCAGCCTGTTTGTAAGTATCAATCTATAAAGTTGTTTCCAATAATGTTTTAAAAATCCTTATTTGAATTTATCTCCCAATCTCAATTTTATGTACCTTAAGCACTTCTCTAAATACCTTTACAATGTAGCATTAAAATAAAAAAAACAATCTCGTGGATTTTTTTGAACCAAATAGTTATAAAATTTTGGTGACCTCACAATACCATAATATTTACTGATGTAGATGTGACGGTTAGATATGGATTTATAAACTGACACTTAGCCCTTGCCATTGGGCTAACAATAGGGGTTTGGGTGGTTGTTCTCTTTATTTAACCCAAATTTAACATTGATATATATA